GAATAGCAGAGACATAAAATATTAATAGAAAAGAAAAAACAATTATATCAGTATTTTACTTCAGTTGTGAGTGGACTTTGAAAACAAATCTGATCATCTCTGTCTGCTGTGCAGTAGATCACATCAAGGTGGCCTGGGAGCACTTTCAGATGAAGCTGAACTACATGTGCTTCAGAAACACACCTCATGCCTTCCAACTGCTATTTAATTTGTAGGTCAAGACTAGAGGGTAGGCCAAAGTAAAGCCACAAAATTTGTGGACAGCAAGACCTCAGCATTGACTGTTTCACTTTGTCTACTCCTATCAGGCTGCACAACTTGCTAATGTCAGCATGGCCAGATAACAAGTTCTGGTTTTTGTATTTTAGCTGGGAAGACATACTGATATTTCTCACCCCTAATGGTGTAAACACTTAAAGAAAGAGCTGCAAGTTCAAAATTTTGCACTGATTTTTAATTTTTTTCCCCTTAGATGGTGATGTCTGTAGATAAACAAAGTAATCACAATCAAAAATACTCAGAGATATATACATTTGTCAAGAAAAATAGCAAAATTATCCTCACTTGAGAGAAAGATCACATCTACTTTCCAAGTATCTCATCTGAAATGTATGCAGAAGTTTGCCCTGCATGTTATGTGGACTGCATTAGCTTATGTCCTGTTGTGTTCCAATTTTTATGCTGTCCTATTCCTCAGGAAGTAATAGGCATCTTTTGGGTTTGGCATCTACAATTTTTAGCAAGTGTTTTGTTTTCTTAATGTGCTTATTTATCAACTGAGGTACTGGAAGACAGGAATGGAGAGCAGAATGCAGCCCCAGTAATCCAAGGGAAAATGCTCAGTGACCTGCTACACCACTTACACACACACACAAGTCTATGGGACTGGATGGGCTCCACCCAAAGGTACTAAGGGAGCTGGTGGAAGTGCTCACCAAGCCACTCTCAATCATGTGTCAGCAGCCCTGGCTAATCAGGGAGGTCCCAGGCGAGTGGAGGCTGGCCAATCTGATGCCTATCTACAGGAAGGGTTAGGAGGAGGATCCAGGAAACTACAGGTCTGTCAGCCTGATATCGATGCTAGGGAAGGTCATGGAGCAGATCATCTTGAGTGCTGTCATGCAACATATACAGGGCAACCAGGGGTCTGGCCCAGCCAGCATACATTTGAAAGGCATGTCCTTCTTGTTTAACTCTCTGTCTGTGAGAAGGTAGCCCACTTGGTGGATGAGGAAAAGGCTGTGGATCTTGTTTACCTAAATTTTAGTAAAGCATTTGACACCCTTTCCCACAGTATTATCCTGGTGAAACTAGCAGGTCATGGCTTGTACAGATGCACTGTCTGCGAGGTAAAAAGTACTGGCTGGATGTCTGGGCCCAGGAAATAGTGGTGAATGATGTTGTATCCAGTTGGTGACTTATCACTAGTGGGGTTCCCCAGGGCTCAGTTTTGGGGCCAGTTTTATCCTGTTTAATATCTTTGTCAATAACCTGGATGAGGGGATCAGGTGCATCCTCAGGCAGTTTGCAGACAAAACTAAGTTGAGTGGGAGTGTTGATCTGCTGAAGGGCAGGAAGGCTCTGCAGAGGGACTTGGCTGGATCCATGGGCCAAGGCCAACCATATGAGATTGAACAAGGCAAAGTGCTGGATCCTGCACTTGTGTCATAACAACCCCATGCAGTGCTACAGGCTTGGGGATGAGTGGG